GTGCTGAGCCTGGGGGTGCTACGCTTGGAGGTGCTGAGCCTGGGGGTGCGGAGCCTGAGGGAGCTGGGCCTGCTCGTGTGACGTCTGGCGGTGCTGAGCCTGGAGGTTCTCCGGGTGCTTCGTCTCGGCGGGAGCCACTCTCTCCACAGGAGCTGCGCGAGTGGTTTGCCCGGCGCTGGAGGCGTGCTGCTGGAGCTGGAGGTTCTTCGGCTGCTGAGGGTGCTGGTGCCGCGGGTCCCGGAGGTGCTCGTACTGGGAGTACTGGAGCTGCTGGGCCTGCGGGTACGACTGGAGCTGGAGCTGCTGAGGGTGTTGACGCTGAGGCTACTGCTATCGGTCCTGGAGGCGGTCCTGCTGGGGGTGCTACTGGTGCTGCTGGAGGTACTGGAGCTGGAGGTGCTGCTGGCGCTGGTGCTGCCGCTGGGGGTACTGGTGCTGTCCCTGCCGTGTCTGGAGTCGCCGCGCGGCCTCGGCCGTACTTCGTTCCGCTCCTTCAGCAGGTTCTTGGTCTCCCGCCTTCTACTGGTCCTCCTCCTCCCTTAGAGTGTCCACAGCCTGTCCCGTCACAGTTACAGTTACAGCCGGCCTCCCCACTGCCCGCTCCTTCTCCCTACACTGGTCCTACTGGAGGTCTGGCTGAGCGTCGTGAGCCTGCGTCTCGCCCTGCGTCGCCTGTCCGTCCTGCTCGCTCTAGTGGTCGTGGTTCGCGTCAGCGTCCTCCTCCTGTCCCTGGCACGCACCGGATGTCTCTGCGTCCGTCCACTGCTCCTCTGCGTGCCCCTTTGCCTTCTCCTCCTGAGTCCTCTCTTCCTGCTCTTCCCGACCCGGAGTCGGACTCTCTTCGTGCTGCCAGTCCTACTGTCACGCGTCTCCTTGCTACTGTCGTCACTGAACCTTCCTTTGAGTCCACTGCTGCGTCTGCCCTAGTTACTGAGCTCGTCGACTTTGCTGCTCGCTGTCGTCTAGACTACGCTGCTAGTCTTGTCGTTGAGTCTGAGTCTGTCTGTCCTCCGTCCATCGGGGGTGAGTGTGCCCTTGGCACGGACGTCCTTGAAGACAGGCAGGAGGAGTTCCAGTGTTTGGCTGCTGCTTCACCTCATCTCGTGTCCGTACTGCTTACCCCTGAGGGAGACCCGGATGCACTTGACATCCCGACTCCGCGCTCTTACGCGGAGGCGATAGAGGGTCCCTACTCCTCTCAGTGGCAGGCAGCTATGGACACAGAGATGGCTTCCTGGAAGTCCACAGGCACCTACGTTGACGAGGTTCCCCCGCCTGGGGCGAACATCGTCAGTGGCATGTGGATTTTCAGGGTGAAGCGACCGCCGGGTTCTCCGCCTGTCTTCAAGGCGCGTTACGTGGCTCGTGGCTTCAGTCAGCGGCAGGGAGTTGACTACTTTCAGACCTTCTCTCCCACCCCGAAGATGACCACTCTTCGGGTACTGCTGCACATAGCTGCTCACCGCGACTACGAGCTGCACTCTCTTGACTTCAGCACTGCTTTCTTGCAGGGCAGCCTGCACGAGGAGATCTGGCTGCGTCGCCCACCTGGCTTCACTGGGTCTTTTCCTCCTGGCACCCAGTGGAGCCTCCGGCGACCAGTCTACGGTCTCCGCCAGGCACCGCGTGAGTGGCACGACACACTGAGGACTACACTTGCGGCTCTTGGGTTTGCTCCCTCTACTGCCGACCCGTCGCTGTTTCTGCGCACCGACACTTCTTTGCCGCCGTTCTACATCCTCGTGTACGTCGACGACTTGGTCTTTGCCACAGCTGACACTGCTGGACTCGCCCACGTGAAGTCCGAGCTGCAGAAGAGACACACGTGCACAGACCTGGGTGAACTGCGCAGCTACCTTGGCTTGCAGATCACCCGGGACAGAGCACGCCGCACCATTACCCTGACTCAGTCACACATGGTGCAGCAGGTCCTTCAGCGCTTCGGCTTCACGTACTCCTCGCCTCAGGCCACTCCTCTGCCTACTCGCCACTCGCTCTCAGCTCTGCCTTCGGATGAGTCCGTAGAGTCGAGTGGCCCGTACCCAGAGCTTGTTGGCTGCCTCATGTACCTGATGACCTGCACACGACCTGACCTCGCATACCCTCTTAGCATTCTCGCACGCTATGTTGCTCCTGGGAGACACAGACCGGAGCACATGGCTGCAGCGAAGAGGGTGTTGCGTTACTTGTGCAGTACGTCGGGCATGGGGCTTGTGCTTGGAGGGCAGAGTCCAGTGGTCCTCACTGGGCACGCAGACGGTTCTTGGGCTGACGACCAGGCTACGCAGCGGTCGTCACAGGGTTACACCTTCAGCCTTGGTTCCGGCTCTGTTTCGTGGCGGGCTACCCGCTCGTCTTCTGTTCTCGGCTCCAGTTGTGAGGCTGAGATCTACGCCGGGGCCATGGCTGCACAGGAGCTTCGCTGGCTCACCTACCTGCTGACTGACCTCGGAGAGCCGCCTCGTTCTCCTCCAGTGCTGTACGTAGACAACAAGGCCATGCTGGCCTTGTGTCGAGAGCAGAGACTGGAGCACAGAACGAAGCACATTGCTCTCCGCTACTTCCTTGCTCGTGAGCTACAGCAGCGTGGTCAGCTGCGGCTTGCGTACGTGGCCTCTCAGGCCAACACTGCTGATATCTTCACCAAGGCACTTGCGCCTTGTGATCATCAGCGCTTCTGTACTCAGCTGGGTCTTGTGCCTACCTTGCCTCACTTGCTCACCCCTTGACCTTGTTTGTACTGTTGCATATATATATACACCTGCTCTTGCTTGTCTAGCCTTATATATATATGTAATCCTGCATGTGAACTGGCCTTGTGGCCTTGAACTTGTGCTCGGAATGTGTGGTGACTTTGTGATCCACCCTGAGCTTGCTTTGCTTTGCTTGACTGGTCTTGTGACCCCTTGTTCTCCCCCACTTTGCCTATGGGGGTGTGTCAGATTTATATGACATAGCTACTGTAGGCTATAGTGGGGTAGCACATATGGGGTACAGTTTTCTAGGGTTTACATTTGTACCCAACTTTCCCTTAGTCAATTCATTCTCGTTCAGTTTCTCAACCGAAGGGGAAAAAATCCAAGCGTATACCGAGGGGCTAAAGATGGAAGTCCGCCGACAGGTGATTGCCGTGAACTACAACAATTACCGCGACTTGGTGTGTGCAGCAGAGAGATTCGATGCGTTGACTCAAGGCGAACCCGAGACACGACGCCACGTGCCGAACCGATCATTTGGCACGAAGCGATCACCACCACCCACGACCGCCGACCCGATGGATATCGACAAGATTGACGCGAAGCAACGGCCGACAAAATATGAGAAGTGCGAATTTTGCGGCGCAGCAGGACATCGACTCTTGGCGTGTTGGAAAATGAAGAAGGCACGAGCGGAGCTGCAGGGCAACAACGGTGCGACATCCACGATGGCGAAAAAAGGAGGACATGATGGCGCGAATTTAAAACGCCACGACCGGCCGGCAAAAGGGGAAATCGCCGAGACAAATGGAGGCTCCGCGAAACAAGATTCTGCACCGACCGGGAAACTCCAGCCGAACACCCCCGAGAGTACTTCTCGAGGTTTTCAAGCCTTTTAGAAATTCAGGGGAGATTTTGAGGCCAAGAAAAAGCCTTAAGACATTATTCAGGTACCTGAGAAGTTGGGCAAACCACTCCGGAGCGTTGAAAAGGGCCGTGCGTTCCAAGGAGTTAATATTCTCTCCCCGCAGCATAGTGTTAAGGCTCCCCATTGCCCACAGGAGAAGCCTACATAGCTGCAAAGGCTTAAGGGAAGGTTCCAGGCCAAGACGAAGCTGAATCGGCCTCGGATAAATCCTTCCAACCCTACTCAGTTGAAAACTGATATGGAGTCAGCAGCTTCGAGCGCAGGACTGAGGGATGATCTATTCGACGTACCCTACGATCCTATAAGCGAGACCATCTACGGTTACTCGGAGCAGCAACAACCACTACTACTCGAGGTGATTTGCAGCGGGCGACGCCTCCGGGCACTGGTGGATAGCGGTGCGTCTCACTCGGTGTGCGACCACGGGACGTTGGAGAAAATTGGAGAATCTTCGGAGGAGACCAAGTTCTCGGCAACAATGGTGGACGGTACGAAACTTCCCATCCACGGCGAAGCATCACTGCAGCAGCACATAGGGGCGCTGAGGTGGAAGCCGACGTTGCCGATCATGAACATCAAGGGATCAGATTTCATCTTGGGGCGAGATTTCTTGAAGTGGTTCAACCCCGAGATCGATTGGGTCAACAGGAAGACGTGCATCTACAACAGCGGGAAACGAGTGGAGCTGCGAAGCTGGACGGATACAGGGAGCGTTCCTGAAACGACATTGGCACGGTTCGAACGGACGGTGAACGAGAGTAACACAGGTTACTTAGCACTGGTTATGGTAGCAGCAGAGGAGGAGAAGCCGAGTTCGGAGCTACCTGCAGCAGTGAAGGAGGTCTTGGAGCAGTACAAGGATATAGTGCCCGACGACCTACCCACAGGCGTACCTCCAGCACGCACCCACGAGCACGAGATCGTGGAGGAACCAGGTGCGAAACCCGTCTCACGAGCACCATACCGACTGAGTCCGACCGAACTGACAGACATGAAGAAACAGATAGAGTATCTACTGGACAGACAACTGATCCGCCCATCCACCTCTCCCTACGGTGCACTGTTACAATACGATCTTAGCTAGGAACGGGTTTAACTAAGGGCCTAGGCTTAGTAGCCTAGGCCAAGCGGGTGTCGAGCAGTTTGTGCCAAGGAGAATTAAAAATGGTTGGAGGTTCACTATAGCACACGAGTACATATAGCAACCTAACAAAGATGAAAGAGGTGCACCAACATACAAGGGAATTACACAACAGCTACACTACAGGCAGATTATACTAAATAGATATAAATCTATTGTGACACACCCCCTATCTGCCTGAAGTGCATAACCATGTGCAGAGCCCCCCTTGAAGGGGTACACCTGTAAAACCCCATTACAGGGCGTGGGAACACCAGCAAGGGGCCCCCTCTGAAGCTGACAAGCAGCAACCACCAAGCAGCATCTGAACCACCGCGGTGGAACAGGTGCCCGGCTGCGGTTGAACGCCCCGCAGCTGGTGCACGGTGTGCGAGGAGCACGGGTACGGGTAGCGGGTTCGGGTAGCAACTAGGTGCTGTACGGGACGGGCCGCACGGGGGTGACGGGCAACACGAGACCGGGCAGCACAGACCGGGTGGGGCACGAGCGAGAACTGACAGCACGGGTGGGGCATCAACGGGTACGGACAGCACGGGTAGGACACAAACGGGCAGAACGGGGCAGCACGGGCAGAACAGGCCAACACGGGCAGAACGGGGCAGGACACGGGCTGAACGAGGCAACACGGGCAGAACGGGGCAGCACGGGAGCACGGGGGCAGCACGGGAGCACGGGGGCAACACGGGGGCAGCATGGGAACACGGGGGCAGCACGGGAACACGGGGGCAGCACAGGAGCACAAGGTAGCACGGGTGGTACAGGTGGGGCACGCACGGGAACAAACAGCACGGGTAGAGCACGAGCAGAAGCACAGGGAACATGGGCAGACAGCACGGGCACGGGCACGGGGCAAGCACGGGGAAGTACGGGCAATACACGGGTATAATCACGGGCACAATCACGGGCAGCAGTACGGGCAGAATCACGGGCAGAATCACGGGCAGGATCACGGGCAGAACACGGGCAGGACACAGGCAGAACGGGTGGAACGGGTGGGGCACGACTGGGTACGGACAGCACGGGTGTAACAGGTGGGACGGGGTAGCAGCACGGGAGACACGGGGCGGGGGGATGACAGGAGGAGGTGTGGTGGTAGTTGCTGCAGCTGGAACATCCACCCACACCCCCTGAACCTCCCCCCTACAGCAGCAACAGCGGCAGAGAGAGAGAGAGGAGGAGGCGTGGCGACAATTGCTGCAGTTTGATCACCCCCTCCATGTCACTCCCCCCCCAACAGCTGCAGTCGCGGTAGATGCAGGTGGGGCAGGGACCGGTCGTGCAGATGCGGATGGCGTACGGGAGATGGGCGGGGTGCGAGCTGGCTGGCGCGTCGGTTGGGCCGCCAATCCCTTCCTGTCCTCCCTCTCCCACCCACAGTGACCGCCGCTGCACACGCGAACAGTTGCGACGGGGGGGGGAGACGGGCAGGCGGCCGGGTACAGGTGGGGCATCGGGTTCCGGGTGGGGCGGCGGGAACGGGACGAAACGGCAGTAACTGGCGTAGCAGATGCAAGCGGGGCAGGAATGGGTCGCGCGGGTGTGGGTGGCGAGTCGCAGGCGGGCTTGCTGGCGCTCTCGTTGGCGGGTCCGACGGCGGGTCCGTCGGCGGGCCCTGTGACGAGCCCGTCGGCGGGTCCGTCGACGGGCTTGCTGAAGGCGGGTTCGCGGGTCCGCTGGCTCGCTCGCTGAAGGCGGGTCCGCGGATCTGCTATCTCTCTTGCTCGCGGGTCCGCAGGTGAACTGGGGGGGCCGTAACGGTGGGGCGCGACGAGCGCCCTCGCGCAGCTCGTCGTCGCTAGCGCAGCAGTAGCGGGACCTCGAGCCGGTGGGGCGACGGGCTGCAGCAGCGGATATCGCGCGGGTGGCGGACTGCAGTAGCGGGTAGTGCACGGGGTCGACGAGGGCGAGAGCGACGGCGCGAAACAGCGGGTCGACGAGCGCCGTCATTCCCGCCGCGACCGTTGCGTCTGTCACGACTGCCGTGACGGATTTTGCTATGGGCGAGCGATGGGGAGGGACGAACGGAGCCGCGATTTGCTGCTTGACGGGACGCGCCATCACGATAACTAACGGTGGGCCCTTAAAAAAAAATAGGTCGGGAACGACCTAGCTCTGATACCATGTTACAATACGATCTTAGCTAGGAACGGGTTTAACTAAGGGCCTAGGCTTAGTAGCCTAGGCCAAGCGGGTGTCGAGCAGTTTGTGCCAAGGAGAATTGAAAATGGTTGGAGGTTCACTATAGCACACGAGTACATATAGCAACCTAACAAAGATGAAAGAGGTGCACCAACATACAAGGGAATTACACAACAGCTACACTACAGGCAGATTATACTAAATAGATATAAATCTATTGTGACATGCACCAGTTCTCTTCACTCCAAAACCAGACGGTAGTTTACGGATGTGCATTGACTACCGCGCACTGAACAAATAGACAGTCAAGAACAAATACCCCATACCGCGCATAGACGACCTACTGGACCAACTGTGTGGTGCAAGAGTCTTTTCGAAGCTGGACCTACGATCGGGTTACTGGCAGATCAAGATGGCGGACAACTCGATCCACAAGACGGCGTTCCGTACCATATACAGCTCCTACGAATACTTGGTGATGCCGTTCAGACTCTGCAACGCACCAGCGATGTTCCAGGCGGAAATGAACCATATCCTGCGGCCCCTGCTGGACGAGTGCGTAGTTGAGTACCTGGACGATATCCTCATCTACTCCAAGAACATGAAGGAGCACGTGGAGCATCTACAGAAGGTGTTCGAGATCCTGCGGAAGAACAAGTTCTACGTGAAGCTATCGAAGAGTGACTTCGCCCTGAAGAAGGTGCAGTTTCTCGGGCACATGGTGAGTGCCGAGGGCGTACACGTGGACCCGCGGAAAATCGAAGCCGTTAAGAAGTGGAAAGTACCGGAGAATGTGAAGGAGTTGCAGCAGTTCCTCGGCTTCGCCAACTACTACAACAGGTTCGTGCCGCAGTACGCTAAGATAGTAGCGCCATTGACCGACCTACTGAAAAAGGATACGCCCTTCAAATGGGATACTCCTCATCAGCAAGCCATGGAACAGCTACAGACAGCACTGACTACAGTGCCAGTACTCATCTTGCCGGATCCAGACAAGGACTACGTGGTGGAAGAAGACGCTAGTGACCAGGCAGTCGGAGCAGTACTGATGCAGGATCACGGACGCGGTTTGCAGCCCATCGCCTACCTCAGTAAGAAGCTACACGGAGCAGAGCTGACCTACCCCATCCATGACAAGGAAGCTTTAGCGATAGTCATAGCCTTCAAGGCGTGGAGGTGTTACCTAGAGGGAGCCAAGACTACAGTCTATACTGACCACTGCAGTCTCAAATACCTAAAGTCGCAGCCGACGCTCTCACGACGACAGGTGCGGTGGGTGGACTTCTTGGAAACTCACTTCCACTACGACATCGTCTACAAGCCCGGGCTACACAACAAGGTAGACGCGTTGAGCCGCCTCGGTCATGTAGCAGGCATCCAGCTCGACGGAATGAACCCTCTGCTCAAGGGTCTATTCCAACATGGGTACTCCGTGGACGCAGAGATCGCTACAGCACAGACCAAGAAGCTGTTACAGTGGGAGAAAGACTTAGCTATAAGGAAAGGTTCAGGAAAGATTTGGGTACCGAATTACGCCCCGCTACGGCAGATCCTATTGGAGGAGTTTCACGACGTACCATACGCGGGACATTTCGGGAGCAACAAGACGTTAGCGGGAATAGCAAAGTATTATTACTGGCCCGGGATGGCAGCAGACGTGCAGCAGTTTGTCACCTCTTGCGACACTTGCCAGCGGATGAAGAACAGCAAGCAGAAAAAAGCAGGGTTACTTCAGCCTCTACACTGTACTGGAGCAGCCATGGCAGGTCGTTAGCCTCGACTTCATCACAGGACTTCCTTCGACCTCACGGGGACATGATTCCATCCTCGTAGTGATCGATAAGTTCTCCAAAATGGGTCACTTCATACCCACCAACGCTACAGCTACAGCTGAAGCAACTGCTCGCCTCTTCTTCGACCGCATCATCACCATCCACGGCATCCCCGCTACACTCATCTCAGACAGAGACCCCAAATTCACGAGTAAGTTCTGGAAGGAGCTCATGGGATTATTGGGGACTAAACTTGTGATGTCCTCAGCATACCACCCCCAGAGTGGCGGACAGACAGAGCGACTCAATCAGGTGGTTGAACAGTTACTGCGCACAGCTTGCAAGGACGATGTCAGCCACTGGGATTCACAGTTACCGACATTTGAGTTCGCTTACAACAACGCGTCACATGCGGCCACTGGGAAAACTCATTTCTTCCTGTGTTACGGACGGGAACCACTTACACCACAGCAGCCAACCACACCGGCACACGTCCAAGCCGCACATGACTTCGTCGCCACCATGCAGCAACTATGGGAGAAGACTCAGCGACGACTCACCACGATGCAGACCTCCCAGAAGCAGTATGCCGATCGTCAGCGACGTGATCACTCAGTAGCAGTCGGATATCAGGTGCTTCTTGACACGTGCAACTTGAACCTGTCTCACCTACCATCCAAACTCCGGCCTCGCTTCTGTGGTCCTTTTCTCGTTGAGGCACAGGTGACACCAATAACATTCCGCTTGCGCTTACCAGATACGTGGAAGCTTTACAACGCTTTCCATGTCCAGCTAATGAAGCCCTACAAGGACCCCAACCAACAGTTCTAGGGACGGCAGCTACCGCCACCACCACCTGTTCTCATATAGGATGAACCCGAGTACGAAGTGGTGCGCGTTCTCACTCATCGACGCCGCGGCGGCAAGACCCTCGAGTTTCTGATACGCTGGAAGGGATACGGCCCCACTGAGGACAGTTGGGTTGCAGAAGCTGATATGGGCAACGCACGCCGTGCTCTCAAGGACTATCTTGTCAAGCAGGGTGTTTCTCACGCCACCCAGCTTTGAGGGGGGGGTGTGTGAGAGTACGATGGCTTATGCTGGCTTTGCTAGCTTGCCTAGACTTTATTATGCTATTACTAGCTTGGGTTTTATTTATCATGCATAGATATGCTTGATTTCCTAGGCTAGGTGCATTCCTATATTTTATTATAGTTATAGCAGCGAACCAGGTTACGTGTACCAAACTCAAGCCTATTCGGTTTCCACCGAATTGCTTTCTACTGAGTTCGGGAAGGTTCTGTTCGGGACGCTTCGCGACCCTCAGAACATTCGCGTAACACCTGGGTAACTGGCCTTGTGTCGAGACTATATATAGCCTCATGTTGTACCCAGGTGAATCAATCAATTACAATTCTCTTTTCTGAGCTCGATCCTAGATCCTCACAAGCTGCTTCATGAGAGAGACCTTCGCCACCGAATCTTTGGCCTGGTAAGTATCCATTAAGTACTCCCATGCTTCATATGCCGGGCTGTAGGATTCCTGTAACATGTTCAGCTGCAGCTGAATCGCAGCGCTCACGCTGTGCAGTAGGACCCAAAAGGCGAGCGCCGCACGCTGTGAGTAATCTGCCTGTTGTGAAAAAAGTACGAGGGAATGGTGTGGACGAGAAATGAGATGGGTACAAGTATGAAAACCTAGAAAAGCTGTACCCCATAATGTCTAGCCCCCTCCGCCGCCTCCACCGCCACCACCGCCGCCCCCGCCGTCTCCTCCAGCACCCTTGCCCCCCTTGCTCCTGCCGCTGCAGCGCCTCCCACTAGGAGCAGACGCAGCGCCGACCGACTCGGTGCCAACGAGGTCGACAGCAGCAGCAAAGGCAACAGAAGGCAAAAGGGGAACGGGGGAGCACCCCTCAAAGAAAGGGGCACGAGGGTCACCACGAGAGGCTCCTACAGCGACTATACTCTTCTCAGCTGCAAGGAGGCGCTCCTCGAGGAGGTCAACGATGAGCATGGTGGGGCAAAGGGAGAAGAAGTGGTCCCTGACCGAGCGAAGGGAGTTAGGGAGCCGGGTGACAAGGTAGTAGAGAGTAATGTACATAGGGGGGGGGTTCTTGGCACAGAACTCGGCAGGAAGCACAGCGCGGTAGCGGGTGTCACTAGTGCGGAGGTGCGTAATGAGGTTAGCGACTGTGGCAAAAGCAGCTAGGTCAGGGAACAGGTACAGCAGCATGAGGCGGCTAAGGGCAGCAGTGGCAGGGGAGGAGTAGCGTGCAACAAAAGCGTCGTACAGAGTCCTAGCGGTCTTGTACTGGCTAAAGTAATCGCGCTCAGCAGACGGCAGGTGACTACAAACAGCAAGACGGGCAGCAGCATCGCGTGTGGTCCACTGCGAGCGAACAGCACTGTCAGCATCGGCAGCAGGTGCAACAGAGACGCCGGACATGTGATCGAATAGTGAGACTCCGTCCCTAGAATCGCACTGCAGAAACAGCTGCAGATCATCGACCCAGACCTCGAAATCAACTGCCCGGCCCTCAGCATCGAAGGAAAGTACATTAGGGGTAGCCATGGCAGCAGTAGCAGTAGCAGCAGCAGCAGCAGCAGTAGGAGCAGCGCGACTCGGCAGGGCGGCGCGGCTCGGCAAGGCTGCGCGGCTCGGCAGGGCGGTGCGGGTGCGGCGATGCGCTTACCAGGGCGGGATCGGGGTAGGGCCGCAACTGGAAGGGCAGGGCCGTGGCGCGCCGGCAGGGCAGGGCCGCGTCATGCAGGGCCGCGACGAGGCGGGAGTGGAGGGCGGCGACAGCTCCAGGCAGGGCCGCGACGGCAGGGCGGCAGGGCCGGAACGGCAGGGTGGGGCCGCGACGGCGTCAGGGAGGGCCGCGACGGCAGGGCGGCAGGGCCGCGACGGCTGCAGGGAGGGCCGCGACGGCTGGGCGGCAGGGCCGCGACGGCAGGGCAGGGCCGCGACGGCAGGGGCCGCGACGGCAGGGGCCGCGACGGCAGGGCCGCGACAGCAGGGGCCGCGACGGCAGGGCCGCGACTGCTTCAGGCAGGGCCGCGACGGCAGAGTAGACGCACGGGGCGCAGGTGAGGCAGGCGCGAGGCGCGCGACAGGGGTAGGGGCGCGCTTCGGGCAGGGCAGGAAAAAAAAAATAAGTGGTGGGCCCTAAAAAAAAACGGTCCTACTAGGGAAATCGCTCTGATACCATGTGAAAAAAGTACGAGGGAATGGTGTGGACTAGAAAGGAGATGGGTACAAGTATGAAAACCTAGAAAAGCTGTACCCCATAATGTCTACCTCACTACAGCCTACAGAGGCTATATCATATATGTTTGACACCTGTAGCATTTCCAGTCGCTCCATAGCATCGTCAAGGTCACCATTTCCCATGGCAACCGGATACTGTAGGGTCACAAAGAACTCCCACAGATTCGTGACGCGGGCATTCATACGAAATCGTAGTGCCCACTCCCGGAAGTTCGAGCCTTCAAACAGAGTAGTGGTGAACGCCTTGTCCACCGCTGCTCCCACCTTTTTGTGTGACAGTCGTTCCTTGTCTTCTTCCGTGTATTCACCTGGAGAGGGGTCGAAGAGAATAGGCACGGTTGACGGCCGAGGTAGCTGAACCGTGCGCTGCATGTCCCCATTCTGTCCACCAAGTTGACGTTCCAGCACTTCCACTTGATCAAGTCTCATGACGCCACTTGACTGCATTTCGTATCCCATCCATCCCATGCTGTTCACAATATGTACTCCAATCGGTGGACGTGGTGCACGCGGAGGTATGTCATAGCCACCATGAAGGTGAGACCTGGCCATGGGACGAACTCCGATGGGATGGGAGTTAGTCGCAAGTCGTCGTAGTGGGGGAGCAACAATATTGTAGGAGGAGAATTCCACACCTTCCACGCCCACTTGACCATTTCCGTCACTTTGCTGTTCAATCCGTCCACTTCTCATCCTACCATGCTCCAATGCATGCACTGCACTCCCATACTCATCATTCCTCCCCCGTGCTTCCCTTTGCATCGATGATTGAGGTGCAGTATTGGAGCTCTCCTCTCTTTGGAGGATGCATCCCTCCCTTGAGATAACTCTCCTCCGTGAGGTGTGCCCATTTCTCCATCACCATCAATCCCTGCATAACCATTGGATACACGAGTTTGGTTAGTTTGTGGAGCTCTTGAATGAGATTGCCCACGAGTGGACGGATTGCTGAACTCTTGAGAGAGTGCTGCCCTTGGCTGGATTGTCATTCCAAACTTGTCCCTTAACGAAGCTTGGAGTGTTGGTGGTGCCCTTGCAATCATACTTTCCAGGTGCTCATGCTGTGCCATGATGGCTTCTTCAAATGCCCCATATCCAGCATCCACTTCGCCATCGAAGTGCGCCATGTCCTTAACAAAACCGTCCACCAGGTGTGCGCTACAAGCGCAAGATTGCTTCGGACGTGAAGACCACGTGTACGAAAGCGTATACTAGGTGTCCGGTACTCTGAGTGTTTGCAGGTACCCATCCGAAGTAAATGCCAACAACTTTACATACCAAATTTGGCAGCATGCACCCTAGAGCAGCTCTGATACCATGCTAGAAAGGCATAGTGCCAGCGTAGCGGAAACGTGTTTGTAGAAAAGAACAAGATAGAAATCTTGCATTGATCATTGAAAAGTAGAATGATGACACAATTATTATGAAGAAGTGACACAACAAGGTATATATGCATCCATCTACCCCTCCAGAATGACCCCATTCACACCAATAATGGTATACCAATCATTGTAACCTCTACCCTCCAATAATGCTAGGCTCCAATAATTGTGGCCCTACAATAATTGTGACAATTATTGTAGGACCTGGAAGCTTATAAAGAGGACTACACTAAAACCGAACAGCACGCAGGTATACAGTATTCGTTATACTGTATTCGGATTTCCAACAGCTAGCACCGCTAAATTAGTCTTAGGCCTCATTACTTGCTCAGTGGTTGTAATTACTTCCGCGATATTGCATTCTGCACTCTTCTCTTTTACAACTCATAGCAAGTGTACTTTCCCGAAATTATGAATACAAACTGGAACAGAAATTGTACGTCATTCCTAGTCCGAATTTCTGCCGAGTCGCACGCGGATATTGCATTTGTGTCTTCGGCTGGTCGATGAACAGAATTGTCCATTGTTCGTCACACCCGAGGTATTGCATTGCTAGGTGCAGTGAAAGTGTACCTTCCTCACATCACCTTCCTTCACCTCCACGTCTCGTGGTGAGAATGTCCGTCAATGGCGATAAGGGTTACTTCTCAAAGTCATTGTCACTCCAAACTTCATTACTCGTTTTTTCTGAAAATATTTAGATAATGTCATGCTTTTTGAACCGGTATTTGTATCTCTCGTGCTTACTTTTCGTTTTGGTTGCTAGATTCCTTCCGCAGTGGGAAAAAAAAATCGCTCAACATGAGCGACAAATATTCTGTTGTGTGCGACAATGGATCAAGTATGGTGAAGGTGAGTAGCACTGGCATTGCGGATTCTCGTGCTCGAGATTTCCTTCTAATGCACTGTGAGCCTTATATTCTAGGCTGGATTCTCTGGAGAGGAAACGCCGCGTACTGTATTTCCCAGCATAATCGGTCGAGGAATGAAAGAGAATGTTTACGTCAGTGATGAAGATGTGTTCAAGCGTGATAAGCTGACGCTGGAGTATCCTATTGAACGCGGTGAGATTACCTTAACTCCCGACTGAAGTACGCGCAAGTTTTTTTCTTGCTTGTGTCCTTTTCGCGTTTGGACTTTCCAGGTATTGTGACGAGCTGGGACGACATGGAGAAGATTTGGCATCAGACCTTCTACAATGAGCTTCGTGTCGCTCCAGAGGAACATCCAGTGCTTATGACTAAAGCTCTTCTAATTCCGCAGCAAATCGCGAGAAGATGACGAAGATTTTGTTTGAGACTTTCAACGTGCCGGCAATGTATGTCGCCATTCAGGCCGTGCTCTCCATGTACGCCGCCGGTTGAGCCACTGGTAAGTGCTGGGCTTGTTTCTCCGCGCAGTCGCATTTGCACTGTGTCTGCTGCAAATCTCCACTTGGTTTCAAGTATTGTTCTGTACTCCGGTGATGGTCTGACCCACGCTGTCCCAGTCTTCGAGTGTCACGCTCTGCCTCAAGCGATTTTCCGTTTGGATCTTGCCGGTCGTGATTTGACTGAGTACCTGGTTTCGCTGTTGAGTGAGAGGGGTCACGCCTTTTCTGCATCTGCCGAACGGCAAATTGTGAGGGACATCAAGGAGAAGCTCGCATTTGTTGCTCTTGACTTTGGAAATGAGATGGCTTCACTGGCGACATCTGATTTGGAGAGGAAGTATGAGCTTCGTGACGGACAGATTATTACCGTTGGTTCGGAGCGTTTTAGGTTCCCAGAGGCTCTTTCAACCCAGGGATGGTTGGCAAGGAAGGCTCGGGTATCCATGAGATATGCTACAACAGCATCATGTGTCAGAGGTCCACTGGTGATCCCCGATCGATCCTTGGGAAGGGTTACAGGCTCGTTGTCTTGGGGGGTTATGGACGCACTGACCTGCTACTTAACAAGCCCTTTTATCCCAATGGTCTAGTGGTTGCGATTCTGACATCATGAAGTGTGATGAGGGTATAAGGGAGGAACTGTACAGCAACATTGTTCTCAGCGGTGGTACCACTCTTTTCCCTGGGATTGTTGATCGCTTGACCAAGGAAGTACCTGTGCTAGCTCCCAGCACCATGAAGATTAAGGTGATTGCTCCACCTGGGCGGAAGTACAGTGCCTGGATTGGTGGATCCATTTTTGCGTCTTTATCCACCTTCGAGCAGGTATACCTTGTCTACGTTTTCTAATGCTTTATGCCTTTCGTGATTCTTTGAGCTGACTTACCGTACATTTGGTGATGCAGGTGCAAATAACCAAGAGCGAGTATGACGAGGTTGGTCCATCCGTTGTTCAGGTGAAGTACCATGGGGCATGGTTGTGCATGACGCTAGTTTTTAGTTCACGTGTCAAGAGTGTTCACTTGAACAATTCCAACAAGATCACTGATAGTGAGTTCATACAATTGAACAATGATACCCTTCCTAGACACTCTTGTCAGGTCTCTAGACACTCTTCCTCTGGGATGTGCCCCCCACAGGATGGCACTGTGTGTCTGTTGAGAACAGCACAACACACGCACCCCCAAGCACAACAAACACTGTGTGTCTGTAGAGTGTATAATATTGGCGGGTCTACTACCGGTACATGGGGGTTTACTGTATGCCTTGGCACTCACATTCTTATATACCAATCCTGAATCCAGGCTGCATTCTGAGATACATGCACACACAAAGAACAAAAACCAATCACTTCTCGCTCATGCCCTACCTACCACCACCACTTTCCACATTGCTCATTTCCTCAGCCTGCCTGACCGCCTCCCTCGTCACGTCCCTAAGTTCCAGCTCCACCTCCTCCTCTAAGTCAGGCCTCATCTCAGCACACCTCTCCACACACCGCACTCCCACTCGCACCACCCTCCGCGCTAGCCCCAAATCCCACCGCCCTGCTCTCTTATCCAGCCTGGCAGTGAACAGCGCCACAGCAACTTCCACGTCACGCGGGCGGCCGGGCGGCGTGGCTTGCGCGAGAATGTCATGGACAGAGCGAGAGGAGGTGAACCCAGTGAGCAGCATGAGGAGGAGGATACCAAAGGAGTACACATCGGAGCGAGGGGAGAGCTCAAACGAAGCTATGGCTTCTGGGGCGATGAACCCCACAGTGCCGCGCACGCGGTGGGTCTTGACGGACGTGGCAAAGGGGTTGGCGAGCGCACATGCGATGCCCACGTCGGCAATCTTGCTGCAGTCGTGTGCAGAGAGCAGAATGTTGTCGGGCTTGAGGTCCCGGTGGATCATGGGCGGTTGGCTGCGGTGCAGGTACAGCAGGGCAGATGCAATCTCATGAGCAATGCGCACGCGGTGCTGCCACAGGAGAGGCCGCAGGGCGGGGGTGTCGGGTGCAGGAGAGGGCACAGCAGGAGAGGGTTTGCTATTGCCGTTACTGCTGCTGCTGCTCCTGCTGTTGCCGCTGCTCACGGCGAGTGCTTGTTGTACTAGTCTCTGCTGGAGGCTACCCCCCGCCATGTACTCATAGACGAGAGAGCAGTCGTCAGGGCAGCACCCGATGAGCTGCACGATGTGCTCATGCTTCACACGGCTCAGCACCTCCACCTCCCTCTCAAAGCTCTCCACGCCACTGCTCTCCTCCCCCTCCGCCTCCCACACCATGCCCCCTCCCCCCCGCCGCTCCTCCCTCTGTTGCTCACCCACTCCCACTGATCCCACCGCCCCCGCTGCTCCCGCTGCAGCGCGGGCCTTCATGCGTTTGACAGCCACAGCAACGCCGTCATCCAGTTCCCCACGGTACACGGGGCCGTACGCGCCCTGCCCCAGTAGGCGGTCGGGGTGGAAGGACAGGGTGGCGGCAGCGAGATCTTCGGGTGAGAAGAGGCGGCAAGGGGGGTGTGCGGAGGAGAGGCGCAGCTTCACCCGCCGCCACCGCCGCCCGGCCCTCCAGCCTGGAGGCGCGTTGCTGCTTGCACAGCTGCTGCTGCTGCTGCTGCTGCTGCTGCTACCGCCGTTGCAGCTGCTGGTGCCGTTGCTGCTGCTCATTGTGCTGCTCTTGCCATGGGTGCTGGTACTGGTGGTGCTGGAGCTGGAGTTGTTCTGGATGGCACCGGCAGCTCCTGTGGAGGTTGTGCGTGTGCAGTTTTGGGGGAGAGGCTGCTGAGTGGCGGTGGGGGTCGTGGGGTTGCTGGGAACGTTTCGTGTGGGCGTGGCGTCAGAAGGATGGGCGCGGGAGGGGAGAGCTGAGCGAGCAGCAGCAGGGGAGGTGCGAGAGGAGGAGTGTGAGGGGAAGAGGAACGAGGAGGGACGGATCTGCGGGAGAGAGAGCGCGGGCATGCCTCTCTCACCATTCCCCGTGCTGCTGCTACTGGCGCTCGTGTTATCAACAGCACCACTGGCATCGCATGCAGAAGAAGATGAGTCAGCAGAGGAAGAGACGGAGGTTGAGGAGGAGGAGGAGGCAGGAGGGAAGGGCTGGTCCATGAGCATTACCCTGCGACTACCCATGTACCCGTTGCTGCTGCGAGGCCTGCCACCACTGTAGCTGCTACCGCCGCTGCTGCTGCCGCCGGCTCTGCTGCTCGTCCCACCCATACTGATGGATCTCAGGGTACCCTCGCTGCCACTGCTTCTCATGTTGCTGCTGCTGCTCGTGCTGCTGCTGCTGGGTGGTGCCTTGTTCTGGCTGGCACTCCCGTTGGGTGCTGCGTGGCTGTGCCTGGTGGAAGAGTCCTCGTGTGAGCGGTGGGGGGCATGCTGCGAGGGCAAGCGCAGGTTCACATTCACGCTGCGGCTCAGCGCTCTCACCATGCTCATGCGCGCCCCCGCCACTCCCGCCCCCACCACCACCGCCACCGGGCCCCCCTTGCCTCCCTTGCTTCCAAACCACCCGTCCCCTCCTCCTCCCCCCATTCCTTCCCCCATCCCTCCCCCACTCCTCTCACTGCACATGCTTCTCGTGCTGCCACCAGCACTGATGGTGCTGGCAGTGCCCCATGTGTCGGTGGTGATCCCAGACAGCACGCTGCTCCGGCTGCCCGTGCTCCTGTGCCGCGGATCGCTGCCTTGGCTGCACGCGCTGCAGCTGCCACTCACACTCGCCGCGTCGTCACATGCGCATGTACATGGGCACGTGCATGCATCGCCAGTGCCACCCTCGCACGCACCACATGACATGACACATGACCCGTCATTGCCATCCCTCTCCTCCAGCCTTCCCATCGAGTTCAAATCTGTGCTTGCCTTGGCGTGCCACCTGTGCGAGCACTCTGTCTCTGCAGAGAGAGTGGATATGCGTTCGCTCACATGCCCATTCCCATGCCCATTCTCATGCCCATGTCCCAGCCCGGCACCACCAGCAGTGCCACCGCCTTGTGCTGACACCATACCATGCCCTCCCGCACCGCGCCCACTGCCGCTGCCACTACCAGCCGCGCTGCACTCTGTACACGCACCGCCCTGGGCAGCTGCAGGGGCATGGCGGCATGGCGATGATGACTCGTGTGGCGCCTCAGCAATGGGTGCACACGGCCCCAGCAGCCAGTGCTGCTCTGCTCCACGCTCTGCTGCCCGCGCTCCCTCCCATGTCTTGTCACTCTTTGACCTTGCGTAACGAGCCGCATGACTCAAACCTGCCTCATCTCCCTTCTCTGCCCCCTCCGCCTCCTCTCCCCTCTCTCTCCCCCCGCCTACTCTCTCCCTCATTGACTGTGCTCGCACCGCACAACCTGGACCCCTGACCCCTTCGCCCTTTCCTCTGCCACGTGGCATTGCTGTGCCTGACGGCTGCAAGCATCGCTGTGCTGGTTGCGCTCCCGGCATGTGCTGTCCGTTGCTGGACGGTGCTGCTGTGCTCTCCTGTCGCTGAAGAGAGAGTGCTGACGTGGCATCCACTTGGGCAGGAGCTGCTGACGTGGCAGGCAGGTTGGAGGAGGTTGTGGAGGCGGGAGGAGGGTGAGGCGAGGGGGAAGTGGCAGGCGGGCGATGGAGGTGAGAGGTGGCCCTGTTGGGCCGAAACGCCTGATGGGGGCAGAGGGCGGGATACATACAGCAAGGGATGAGGTACGACAGAGACCAATGGCATGGGCGTGGACGTGGGCATGGGCATGTGCGAGAATATTGGAAAAGACAGTACCATTCTCGCGTTGCACACACGCACAGGGACCAGCACCCTAAAGTGTGTGTGCCTTGTGCCACGCCCCTGCAGCACCTCACGCCATTCCCATTGCACCCTCTACCCAGCACACCACGTGAGTCCCAACCTCCCTCTGTCAGCCCCTCGCACCTCGCGTGCCCCGCTCACCCTGCGTGCCCCGCTCACCGCGCGTGTCCTGTGTGCGGGCCAGTTCTCGAACGTGTCCAGGGATGTCGCCCGGCTCGCCACCACTCGTCGCCCCAACTTGCCCGCACCAGCAGCAGCAGATGCAGAGGTGTCATTGGAAGCACGGGAAGCAAGAGGGCCGGTGACCATGCTCTTGCTGCGCGGCATCACACGGCTCCCCCTCCCTGCCCTGCTGCCAACGCCATCCCCCTCGCCTGCTCCTCCCGCCTCTGCTGCCACGTCTGCTCCCCTCCCCGCATCAACACTCCCTTCGCCTGCCTTCGCCCCCTCCTCACTCCCCGCGCCCTCCCCGCCCTCCTCCTCCTCGTCCTCGTCCTCGTCGCTCAGTTGCTGCAGCTCCTGCATTAGCATCAGCCGCGCAACAGACGCCGCCGCATGCGCGTGTACGTGCGCCGCGTGCGATGCGGCCGCTTCCGCACCCACTTCCCCTTTCATTCCCCCCCCGCTTCCCCACCCAGCCTCGTCTCTGCATGCTCTGGCCTGTCCCTGCCACGCCGCCCTCCCCCGCTCGCCCTCCGCACATGCCACCCGTGTAGTCACCCGCGCTGCTTCACTCGCACCCTCCCCGCAGACCGCTTCAATCACCACCTCCCCGTTACCCCTCTGCTCCCCACCGACTCCGTTCCTCCCCCCTGTGACTGCTGCTGCTCCTCCCCTCCTCCCCTCGCACTCCTGTTCAGACGCTGCGCGCCCTCCTCCATCTTCCCCGCCCTCCCTCACGCCTCTTCCCTCCGCCTCCGCACCGCCCCTCTCCCCCGCTCCGTCCGCCACCACCAATGCCCCCCGCTGCACTGCCCCTTCGCTCCCCGCGCTGCTCCTTTCCGCCGTGAGCCAGCGCCCTTCAGCGCCGTTCCCCCCATGTGCTTCTCTGGCGTTCCCCCCATGCACCGCGCTCCTCTCCCTCCCGCTCTGCTCCGTGGACGTCACAGCCTCGCCGCCAGCCCCACCGGCACCAGAAGCGGCAGCGGCAGCGGCAGCACCAGTGGCAGCAGCACGCTCGCCAGTCGCGTGCGTCCTCCCTCTAGACCCGACAGTTGCTGCCGGCCCTCTGCCCCGTTCCGCGCCGCGTGGGGTACTGTGCGCGGCGCTGCTGGCTTGCGCCGGAGGCGGAGCTGCTGCTGCGGGCGGGGAGTAAGGGAGAGATGCAGGCGGAGCACGCGCGGGGGGTGGCGGTGTTGGCGCAGGTTGGGTGGGGGGCGACGAGCGCGCGGGAACGGGTGGGGACAGCGCATTCGGTGGCAGGGAAAAGGAGTGCATGTAGCTGGGAGGGCGCGGGGAAGACGGAGAAGCGGACGGCGGCGGAGTGGCGCGTGGCGGAGAAACGGGAGGAGGAGAGGCGGATGATAAGGAGGGCGGAGAGGCGCGCGGAGAGGCGAGCGGAGAGGCGCGCGGAGAGGCGAGCGGAGAGGAACGAGGAGACGCGCGCGGAGCGGCGGATGGCGGAGCTGGGGAATACGGTTGGTACGAGCCTGGGCATGCCTGCGCGCACGAATCACTCCGCGGACCATCGGCGCTGCTCTGCGCGCCGTCCGTCGCGACAACCCGCGCCCTCCCCCTTCCTGCCTCCGCGCCTCTTCCTCTCCCCCTTCCTCGCGCTACCATCCCTCCGCCCCGGCCTGCAGCGCCCGATACCGCAGTCCCCGCGCCCCGTTCCGCCGTGCGCGGAACCACGCACGACTGCGCGCGTCTGAGCGCCCTCTCCTGTCCGCCAGACGCCTCAGCGAATCTATTCCCCCCCAACGCCTTGTCTCCGCTTGGAAATCTCCTCTGCACGCTATCTACTTCCCTCGCCGGCTGTAGCGGCGGGCCTGAGTGTGGATTGCCGGCTAGTTGCGGAGGATGGTGACTGAGGGGTGCTATCGCGGGTTCGGGTCGAGAGACGGGGACCCTTGTGCGGGAAGCAAGGGACTGCTGCGACAGCTGCGATTGCTGTGAGTGCTGCGACCGCTGCGGCTGCGTCGACTGCTCCGACTTCGCTTGTTGCAACTGATGCGACTGCTGCGATCGCGATTGTTGCGATTGTTGCGACTGATGCGCTTCCTGCGATTGATGCGCCTGCTGCAACTGCGACTGATGTAACTGTTGCGATTGATGCGCCTGCTGCGACTGCTGTGACTGCGACTGATGTAACGACTGATGCGACTGTTGCGGTGGAAGTATGGACTCGTCGATGGGCCGGCGTCCCTCTGAGCGGCTAATAAGAAGAACGGCGTCCGTGAGGCCGCGGGTGGGGATGATGCGCGCATTAGGAGCAGCGCCGGGCATAGCGGCAGTCATGGAGTTACGCCGACACAGCTGCTTGCCACGTGCTGCTGGTGCCGCTGCTGCGGCTGCAGCTGCCTCTGTGCGGCACAATCCGCGCCACACTCCGCGCGGCTTCGGTACCACCATGTCGTTCACCCGCCCCAGCCGACCCCTCCGCTTGCCCCGCTTGCCCCGCTTGCGCCCTTGGAATGCCCCACTCGCGCCGTTCCTCCCGCCCGCCCTCGCTTAGACGGCGCTCCCTAGCAGCGCGGGGCGACGCACTCGCGGAGTGGGGATTGGCGCTGCTAGTACGTTGGGCGCCGGCGGCGGAGCTAAGGGCTGCGGGAATGGGGGGCGAGGCGGGGGAAAAGCTGTGTCGGCGGGTGCAGTTGCGGGGGGGAGTTCTCCGACTCGGGGTGGAGGGGGAGAGGGGAGGGCAGCTAGCTGCTGCAGTCGACACGTCACTCCCGGCGAATCTAGGTGATCGCACAGAGCCTCCCTCTGGTGGTGCGTTCCGCCTAGGGGAGCGCGCCCCAGCTGCTGGAGGGCATGGCCGCACGGCGGTGTTCGCGCGAGGAGAATGCGGAAGGAGTGGGCCGTTGGGATGCTTGGGAGAAACGCACGCGGCTTGCGGAGCATCGGTGGGCGAACAAGAGCCGTCCATCCGCGCAGATCAGACTAGTATATATGACTGAGAACCTTGCGAACCTCTGATGTCGATCCTGTGTCAATGTGTGTACACATTAACTCGCTCTCACGTGTCGACTGCGAGGTCAATCACTCGATAAAGGCTGTTATGGTGTGCATTGTATGATATGGTATGACTGGGTGCTATGGTCTGGTGCGTGCGTGATGCGTTGACGCTGACACAGCAAACGCTGAATAGCTCTGGCAGCCGAACTGCAGAGTCTGTGAGATTCCAGAGGGGAGAGGTGTTCGGGCTGTGTTCCCTGATGCCTAGGTGAGAGCAGTGCTGTCAGTGTACTCCGCGAGTGTGAGTGAAAGTTGGAGAAGGGAGGCACATCCAATCCAATGCCAGTTCACTTGGGTGTTGGTGGTGTGGTGTCTGTCTGTGATGCACTCCCACCTTGCACAGGTGACTGACGGCCGTTACAGTACAGCAGGCTTGATTGGGAAGAAGAGAGAGACATCACAGCCTGCTGTGGTGTTGACTACAGTAGAGAGAGACATCACATCACAGCCTTGTCCTTGTGCTAGGTCTTCTTCAGATGAGGACTGTGTGCACAGTGCACCCGAGCAAGTCTGCTGCGAGCCAAGCCATTTGGCTTGGTTTGGTTGGAGAGACGAATGACCATGTCGCTAGGCAGTACAGTAGGCTCAGCATGGGTACTGCCCCAGCAACGTGTTGGTGCTTGTCCTTTCCCTGATGGTCGTCAAACGTTGAAACCACCATCCATACATGTCGCTTCAATCCCACTTCAAGGGAAAGGTCTGCAATCACACGCACTTTTCCGGCGCACTGTATTACTGTACCGTATAAGGTGTACACCATGGTACGGGTGCTGTACCATGGGAAGTGTGGGCTATTGTACAAGGAAATATGCCATTCGTAACCATCATGGGACTCGAAAACATGTGTGGTAAAAAAATAAAGGGTACGGTCACTGCAAAGGGTGTTTTCACGCGACTCATAAAGCGTTTCACGGAATCAGTCACAATCAACTGGTAAAATAAAACGCGAATGGTCACGGATGAAACTCCCGCCAAAACAAAATGAAACCCAAAAAGAATCTGGATGCATTTTCGGATTATCAACCCTAAACACGTAACTCGCCAGGTGTTTAGGGTTGATCCGTTCCCAAACCGCACCCGATTCCGATTGGGTTTTAGTTTTTTTACAATTTCGCAGATTGGTTGGGCGCGAGCGGGAATTTTGTTAAGTTTCAAGTTTTTTGGCGGGAGTTACATGCGTGACCATTCGCGTGATTTTTTTCCAGTTTTTAGTGACTGAATATGTGACCCCGCTTACCAAACCCGTCAGAAAACCCGATACACTGACCGTACGCGTTTTTGTTTTACCATTCACGTTATCGAGTCCCAAGTTGGTTACTTGTGGCATATTTTCCCATTGTACAATGCCTGCGCAGGACACTGAATGTTTGGAAAACAGTGTATCAAAGTGTAGACGAAACTCGTGTATGATGCAGCAGAAAGAATAGCAGCACCCCCACCCGGGAACATGATTGGGGTCGCTTCTGGAAATCGGTAGGAGGATTTATTGACGCGCCCCTAGTTTCGTAACCCGAGTGAAGGGTGTCATGCAAGTCAGGTGACGGAGTGACTCCAAAATCACAAGTAGGTTTTTAGGGGGGGTTTTCAGCTTAGCAGGGAGGGGTATCCCGACCCCTCCGCTTTCAGGTTAGGGGTAGCGCTTTCTGCGCACAGTTTCCTCTAAAGTCCGGGCTAGGGGGGGAGAGTTATTGTTCAGATTAGGGACTCGAGCTCTCAATGAGCCACGTTTCCCAGTTCTCACAGAGAGCTCACTGTAGGTGTTCAAATCACAGATTCTCCACTGCTCTGGTTTGTCGTTTCTACTCAATATATTACACTCGAAATACCCCAACGGACACGTGAGCAAAAAAAATAAACCCCAGTCGGTAAGGCATCCGGTCAGCGAGGCATCAACCCTAAACACCTTGTGGCATGGTGTTTAGGGTTGATGCCTCCCTCTGACGCATTTTAGGGAGGAATCAACCCTAAACACGGGACCCCTCTTTCTTGTTAGGGTTGATGCCTCCCGAGTCGCACCCCTTCCCGATTGGGTTTATTTTGTTTCGGTCAGGAAGGGTGCACATATTCTCAGGGTTTCGGGTGCAATGTAATTTGGACGAGAAAAAAAAAAACAACGGCCACACAGCTTTGGGAACAGTGGGCTGACGAGCTAGCCTGGATTCGGTAGAAAAGACAAACAAGCGCAGTGCAGAATCTGAGATTGTAGATGTACAGTGAGAAAGCTGTGTAGGACTAACCACGTGGCTCATTGAGAGCTCGACTCCCTAACCTGAACAATAACCCTCCCCCCCTAGCCCAGACTTTTGCGGAAACTGTGCGCAGTTTGCGCTGTCCGTACCCTGAAAGCGGAAGGGTCCAGATACCTGTCCCCGCTAAGCTGAAAACCCCTTTAGGGGCACTCTCGTCAGGAAAGTACAGAAGTCTTGCTAACGAAACCGTCGCTGCCATGCACAGTACATCTTGCAACACAGCAACTCCTGACCTAATGGGTGCGCCTGACAACACATCGGATTCAGGGTCCAACTCAGGCAGTGCTGATATGCATTCGTTACGTCCCCCAACCCGGAGACTCTCATTGGAGACTCTCATTTGAGTTGTACAAAAGAAGAGTACTGTACGCAGAATGCAATATCGCGGAAGTCGGCGGACCGAGCCTGAACTTCGAAAAATTGGAATTGTACGAGTACGGAGTGCCTGAGCAAGGAATTAGGAAAAATCCTTACAAACTGCGTCCAGATTTATGAAGAAGTATTGTTACGTGTGCAATTGATGAAGCTAGCTAGGATTGCACTAAAGAGTCTAGAGGAGTAAAATGCGATGCGAGCTAAGGAATGAGCGAACAATTATAGCGAGAACAGTTGAACAGTAACACGGGCATACCAGCTAACTTTGTTTGATGCTGGAAGCGAGGCTCGGGCTAGTCCTGAAGCGTAGGCTGATTCGGCCAATTCCTGCAATGTGGGGTTTGGCTCAATTTTTGCGCGAAGTGGCGAACATCGCTATTGGTATGATGAGCTGACTGTAGGCGTATTTCGAATTGTTCCCATAGGTCTTTCAAGAATGTGTTAATACGAGTCTCTGATGATGGCTGCTGGTGTCTCGTGAAGTCAAACGAGGCTGTGATGAACAAGCGAGGGCTCTCTTCGGCTAAGATTGATTTCTTGCACGTAGCGAAGTTAGCAATTTTGGACAACCTATCAACGATGACCATGACCGCGCAGTTACGACCGAGGTTCGTCGATAACCCATTGACAAAAATCCATGCTCACTTGCTACCAGACGTGTTCGCGTGATGGTATCGGCTGGAGATGCCCCACTGGTTTTTTCCGCTACGACTTCATCACACGTGGGGCACGAGAAGTAGCTCCTGGCAATTGTAGTACTGCTGCAGTTGCTATCTTGTATTTTCTACCATGAAGTGACACGATGTAATTTCGTCATATGCCTCTTGCACTAACAACTCATGTAGAAGTGAGTGTGCTGGTACCCAGATGCGATTGCTATATGATTTTGTTAGGAGAATGAACGAGGAATGAAAATGACTAACAGCAGGATGGGTACAAGTGCTAACCCTAATTGGGTTGTACCCCATATGGGCTACCCCACTACAGCCTACACAATGAGCAACATATAAGTTTGACACACCCCCATAGGCAAAGTGGGGGAGAACAAGAGGTCACTAGACAGGTCAAGAAAAGCAAAGCAAGCTCAGGGTGGATCACAAAATCACCACGCAGTCTGAGCACACGCAAATGGCCACAAGACCAGTTCACATGCAGAGTTATATATTTACACACATATATATAGGAGAACAAGCACTACAGCGATCACAACCTAGCAAATGTAAGCATGCAGGTATATGTTGTGAAGAATAGTAGGCATAACGAGGAGCCATAGCTAGGTAAGCCCTAGCTAGGCAAGTGAAAGTTTAGGCAAAAGAGGAGGTTCACTAGCAGCAGTTGGGATACATATAGCAAACCCTAAATGGGTTGTACCCGCTATAGAGCACCCCACTACAGGCTAGAGAATAACATTCTGACATATGTATATAGATCACAGTACAAGCAAAGTCAAGAAGTGAGCAAGTGAGGCAAAGTAGGCACAAGGCCTAGAACAGTACAGAAACGCTGATGATCACAAGGCTGAAGTGCCTTGGTGAAGATTCTTTTAGGGCAGAGAAGGTAGCATGCTCTTCCCCCCACCCCCACGTGTAATTAACTCCCTTGCTTAGCAGGTCGGTCAGTGGGGCAGTCAACTTCGCCATGTTGGGGATAAACTCACGAACGTAGTTGATGAAACCCAAAAATTCTGCAGCTCGGCCAGGTTTATCGTGGGTGACAGGCCTGAACTGTCGCGATCCTTTTCGGGTCTATCTCTATTATCTGAAATCCAGTGACCCAAAAATCATAGTTTGTCCTGTAAACGCTCACACTTAGGCATATTCGGGCTTTGTCATGTCATTGATCTACGCGTCACAAACATGAAAAAACCGAGTTGCACATGCTAAAGCCTGAGTTGCACGGAAATGTTTGTTAATCCCAGTGTCACACACGATGTACTGTATGCAACACTGCAAATTTATATTAACAGTGACTGAAGCGTCACTGATAATGCTATGTCTATATCACAAGCATCGACGAATAATGTTTCAATTTGTCTTCAACCAGTTGTGGGCATCAGGTTTTTTTTTTTTTTTTTTTTTTTTTTTTTTTTTTTTTTTTGCAGTGTGTATGTTGTTGTTTGAACCTTTCGGTGCATGCATTTTGACATTTCAAGCCGCTCTCAAAAGTTGTGCGACGATGATAACAGGTCGACGATTTTGACGGAAATCATGGCAGCTAGTCACAAAATTAATATGTATCGCACATTCACGGTCCATATTTCAGACACATGACAACAAATGCAGATTTT